CATAGACATGGTTGGCTGTTCTTAGAAACTTATCAACCACTTGCTTTTTATTCACCAACCAACTTTTTTTTTTTTTTTTATTAAGGAGAATGAAACATTTCAGACTGCATCATCTGTGTTCAGATTCAAGCTTTCCTCCAAGGACAATAGTTGTATTCTTGCTTTGTGGCCACTAAGAGACCCATCTTGGAGATATTCTCTCTAATAAAAGGAGATGGAGCCTCAAGTGATCAATAGGTTTATTCTAGAAGCGGCTGGTAACCCCCAAAAGACTTCTTTTGGATGAAACTTTTAAACATGTGGAATCTCTTTTTTGGGGTCCCCTTGCTGTGTTCCCACCTCTTCTCACACACATACTCCTTTCCATAGAAGTTGAATCCAGAAGCCGTAACTGCTATCAGCTGAAATTGTACTCATAACCTTACTTGAAGACTCTTTGGAGCACACATAGAGGTTTGGCTGAGGCTCGTATTTTCCAGTTCTAGAAATTTCTCACTTCAAGGTTTATTACTGGTGTCTAACTTGGGGGAAATATCTTAGGAGGAAAAAAGAAACCTAGCTAATAATCAAAAGTGATTTGACATCACCAGTATGAATATTGAATAAAAATTTATTTGTTTCAAAGAAACACAATTCAAAGCAGAAGTGATGACAAGTAAACAACATTTTAATAGCATAAAGGAAGAAAGAGTAAAGAGAAGTCTTTCAAATTTAACAAATGATTTTTTTTTCTGATAACAGATTTCTAACATCAATCACTTTTTGGGGAGAAACGAATAAGGTCTAACAGCTTGTACTAGCATTGATTAGGATTTGATAACCTGCTTTAACTTCTAGTTTCTTTCATTCATGTGGTAATAATTACTCATTGATTTCCTACTGCATACGTGGCTCTGCCTTACATGCTGGGGATGCAATGGCGAGCAAGACCCATTCCCTATCATCTTGGAATTCACAGCCTAGTGACCAAAGACAGGTCCCCGGTGTTGTCCCCCTCAGTTTTCCCTGCTGTCAGCCATGTGCCCTCAGCATCCAACCCTGTGACTGAATACTGCCCCTGGGATAACGGTCTCTGGGCTGTGCTCCCTTAAAACTATCAGAACTTGAAACAAATGTTTCCACTAAGTCAACCCCTGGATGTCAGCTAGGGTCACAGGCCCAGTGCCACAAAGAGAGGAAGCCTTTTCTGGAAGGAGCCAGGTTTGGGGCTCAAGAGAATTAGAGTGAGTCATCTTTTCCTAGGATGAGAGTGCTTTTCACTTCATTTGATCATCAGCTTTCTAATTCTTTAGCCCATGACTTTGCTAAAAATAAGGTGGAGTATTATCAGCTCTAAGAGGACCCTACCGACTGTGGGAGCCCTTGGGTGGGGAAGGATAGGGAGTCTGTTCCTGATTTTGCATTGACGAGACTGAGAACTTTGCACAGGCTCCACAAGTATTTGTGATGATGAAACCCAGTGTGGAAGACAGCGGGATGGCGTGAGTGGTGGGGGGACAGCCCTCAAACTTGAAGCACCCAATAAGGCAGGGGTTGAATGTATCCTGCAGCCGCTAGGCAGACAAAGGGTTTATTTTTATTTTAATGATGACATTTGAGACAAAGCTTATGAGAACTGTAAGCATATATATTTGCCAATAGGACAAGGCAAAATTCTGTTACTGGTCAATTAATTCACACCACTTTTATTATCACAAAAGAGGTGAGTGTTCTTTTGTGGAAAATATAAAAAAGAAAGATTAAAAAGATAAACATCATTCAACCCTATCACCAAGGAATCATTACTATTGACATATCTCCTATATTTTGCAAATCATTGTTATGTTGTCCAAATAGGATTCAATTCTTCATATCATTTTGTAACCTGCAGTTTTTTAGGAACCATATATCGAGAGCATTTTTTAAAGTGCCATTTCATGTTCTGTGACATCCTTGGTGGTGGTGCGTTGTGAGTTCAATGGTGTGGACACATGATACATTTACCTAAGTAATCTCTGTTGAACACCTGGGTTATTTTGGGGGTATCTTCACTACAAAGAAACTTTTTTTGCCTTTAATCTTGAGTAGTTTAAGCTAAGATCTGACCCCATGGAAGGCAGTCCTTGGGTTGAAAAAAGCGACAGATGGGCAACCAACAGATCTGGCACCCACTCTTGTCCAGTCTGACTAATCAATTAACCATTTGCTGCCTTGGTTTCCCTTTGGCAAAATGGTCATCTTAAGCTTTTTACCTCCCATAACCCCCAAGTTCTCAAACTTGCGTTGAATGATATGGAAGCAAAGCTGTGGGGCTCTCCAGCATGCCAGACTGTCTCTCTTCCCTACTTCTGGAATAAAGTCTTGGCTTTCCTTTCATTCCTTCTCCATGCCCTCCCCTCCATACCTCTGATCCAAATGGATGGTTCAAAGTGCTGGTTTACCAGGTTTTAACCTACTGTGAGGAAGCCTGCTTCTTGCCCAGAAATGATCATAGTGGGAGTCATATAATTGAGCAAACCTCCAATCCAAAGCGCTGGCCTGCTCCAGCCCAGTAAATAAAGCAATTCACAGGACTGTAAAATGCCAGAACTATTAAGAGACCACAGAGATATCTCCTTTCCCCGTTATAGAAGGACAGTGATTGGGCCAATGCCATCGATACGGTGGCAGAGCTGGAGCAAAATGCAGTGCCAGGAGGCCATGTGGTGAAATTATTAATGAGAGTGTCTTTGGGGACAGACTGCCTGGGCCAGCTGTGAGATTTTGGGCAGGTTAGTTAATATCCCTGAATCTCAGTTTCCTTATCTGCGAAATGAGAATGGTATCACAGTACACTTCACAGAATTGTTGCAAATGGGATTCCTTAGAAAAAGGGCTTCAATCACAGTAACTCTCCAGTAGTGTTAGCTATGAGCATTATAACTAAGGTTGTTTTTGCAGTCACACTGACTCCCAGCCCAAGAGAATCCTCTCAACCTGATGCTTGTGTTGGAAAACACAACCCTTTGGGACAAAGGCTGTTTTCAATGTGAGTGGTGGCTTTACCAGCTGTGGACAGAGGGATTACTCTTCAGATGGAGACTACTCAAAGCAGATTTGCATTTGTGACGCCCCCAAATTAACCTGCTCCCTCTGGTCGCCTCTGGCTAACCACCAACCCAGTAGCATTAGTGTGGAAAGAGTGGAACATGCTGCTTGTGGTCTGAGACAGAAATGCAACCATAGCGCCAAAGAAAATGAACGACGTGGCACAGCCTAAGCATCTTGATCACAGGCCAGGGATGTCCAAGAGAGACCTTTGCTCAGAGGGGGCCCTTTCTTCTCACCAGACCCCTTAGCTAATACCAGTCATCCCACCAAAGTTCTTTTCTCTTACATGTTTAACTTTACATTTTCTTGGAATTTAAAACGTTGAGGATTTTATAAAATATTGGTTTAATTCCTTAAGGCCTATAGTTCTGGTTGCATAAATAAGAAATCCATATATATATATATGTATATATATAAAACAAACTATATATATATAGTTTGTTCGTTTGTTTTAGCAAACCAGCTTTATTTGATTTCAGTTTTAGGCTTTATTACCACCCTGACTTGTCAGGACAATGCCTGCATTCCAGACACACCCAACCAAAGGATAACGGCAAGGAAGTATGGACCCCAAGAATCAGAATCAGCAGCCCCCAGAGAGCTGGCTAAGAGAACCAAGAACTCTTTTCTTTTGGTAGATTCTGCCAGGTATTTTTCTTCTTTTACAGGATTTGGAGAATATTTTTGATTACTTCAGAAAGATTTATTTTATTTAACTGAAGAAACATTTTTAAATGAAGGCTGATCTATTATCTCAGCCCATCCCAGGTGCTTTGCAGCTGAATGTAATGTGGTATGTATGTCAGGCCACAGGCGTGAATACAGCCACTGTAGCAGAGGGAGCGATGCTGGCCAAGTTTAACTCACCCCTCTTGTTCTCCTCCTTCCTCCTCCTCCTCTTCCCTCTTCTTCCTCCTTCTTCTTTAATGAAATCAACTTATATGAAATGACCGAAATGAAAAACTACCAAACTTGCCTCTTCCTACACAAAACAAAAGCATTCAATGATTAAATGAACTCAAGTAGTGAATTACTTCTTGCTCAGTAAGTACAAAACTTCAACTTCAAAAAAATGAATTTTTTTCTATCTTCATAATCCCAGAAGAGAGATTTCTTATTTCTTTCTGATATGACTCTGCACATATATTCAGAAAAGTCTCAAGTTGTCAGTGCAACATTTCATTCCCAATGACTGGCTGTGTTGTGGCCTAAGCTTCAATAGGCCCTAGTTGATGTTTAGTCTTAGTTGATGTCTTATCTTGCAGGAAATCCCTGGGAATATCCCAGTATCCCAGAGTGGATGAAATGGGCAAGAGGGAGTCCTGCTTTATGAAAAGAAAGAGGAAGAAAAAGCCGCTTCACAAATGAAAATTGATTTGCCACAGAGAATGCAGTGGGACGTGAGGGTGTGCAGGGGAGGGTGGTGGTTGTGGTAGTGGTGTGAATAACAGTTCTCTTCCTGTGTGAGAGCCATTCCACCCAAAGCAGGCCCCAGACATGCCATGGAGAAGAGACACACATTTACACACACAGGTCTGGAGCCAAAGTCAGGGTCCAGTTTGAATGAACTGTACACATGTATTTTAGGCAGCGACAAGAGTTCATATGTACAACCACAGTTTGTCCACCTGGGTAAGCACACTGCTCTGGCCAACACACAGGCTCTCCTGAACAATGATGCTGTTGGAATATTTCTTTTTGTTTTATTCATCCAAAGTCCAATATTGGCTCTGTCAGATTACCAGTATCTCATAAGCCCAGTGTTGGCCCACACGGCTGCAGGACTGGGACAAAGAGATAATGTTACAGTCTGGTTTCCATGGCAACAGAGGAGGGGTAATGAAAACTGAAATGTTGGAAACGCCGCTCTGACAATTGTGACATAATTCAGGTTATTACAAGGACGTAACTACCAAAGAAGCAGAAGTGTCATTACCTTGCAGCTCATGTCTACAAAAAGCTACACTGCACACTTCTCTTAGTTGGGCTGCTGAGAGGAAGGAAACACAAAACATGCACACACACACACACACACACACACACACACACACACACAGACACACACTCAAGCTTCGTTTTCTGCATGTAAAATGTGTGTGTTCTTTAAAAGCCAGTGGTTGGCTGGTTTTCCGGACATGATGTGGTTGAAGCTGTCATCGTAATGGAAATTCATTGCTGTAGCTATGGTAAATCCAGTTTTCTGCCTGTGCTGAATGCATTAGTCTAATGAGATGTTTGCAGCCAGGGCGCAGGGCTGCTGGAGACTAACTGAGCTACTAACGCACGAGTGGAAGATAGCTTTTGCAATACTCGGTTTGCATGTGCCGAAACTCATCTGAGTCAACACTCTCGACCTGGTAAACAACCCGACCAGGGCTCTGGTGAACAAGCTGTAGGTAAGGGCGACGCACAGCTGGAGGGTGTGCCGCTGACACAGGCTCTTTCTCTGTCCACTGTCAGCGTGACAGGTTACCTGTGTTAGTTCCTCTGGGTTGCATGCCTACCTCTGTGGCAAAGCACCAGTGTCCTGCACCAAAACCACTGAGTCCAGCAGGTAAACTTCCGTTCCTCCTGTGCAAAATGCAACGTTTTGATTTCTTACCATATCTCAGAGGGGAAGACGTAGTGTAGAATTATATACTTTATAAATTTTGGCTATAGACACGTGCACTACGCTCTAACTCTGCATTTAAATATGTAGAAAGTAATTTTTTTTCCAAGTGTGAACTCAAGTTACTGGTAAGCTTCCCCCGCCTCCCACAATAATTTTGCTTTGCTTGTTTTTTTTTTTTTTTTTAAATTGTAGTATGTTTTGGGATAAAAATATTTACCTAAAAAATTGACTATTAAAATTGGTATGTTATGACCATGTAAAAGTTTTTTAATTGAATTTTATTCTGAATATCTCAGATGAAATATTTCACATTGTCTTTGTGCTGATTTTTCTTAATTTACCAGACATAAATAAGAAGAGTATTTGCTGCTAGTTGCTGGTTTTAGTTAGTTTGGAGGGAAAAAATAGGTGACCATGGAAAATTAGGGGCAGTTTTCCCAAGTTCAAATACAAAGTCACCTCCTTCCCAGGTGGAGCACTGTGTGACTTGCATCAGCTTCTGCACGGTCCTCACAGGCATGCGGTGTCCTCTCCAGGTTGCTGGGTGACTGGACAGGATCAGCGGCTGGAGCACAGGCTGCTGAGTGAGTCGTTTTATTGATGGTTGATGTGCTGGAGTCAAAGTTCTTTCCACCATCTGTGACAGTGACCAAGAGGTGGCTCACTGTGTTGCTTCTAGATTCCACGACGGCACTCAAGAGGCTAGACACTTAGTAGCTTTCTGAGAAAGTGACTTTTTGGTTGGTCTCGGACAATGGGGTATTTGGGAAAATTGAGCTTCAGAATTGAGACTCTTGTGGTGTACTTTGTCTTCTTCCTATTAAATGAGAGAAACCATTTTTGAAGAGTGAGGGACATAGCTGCTTTTTTCCTAGTTTTTTGTTTTGTTTTGTTTTTTGCAAAGAATATCTGGAGTGAAAGCATAAGAATATAAAATAACTATAAAGAAATTCTTAGTGTGGTAAAGTAAACTATCTGGGGTGTATGATACTTGTGAGGGGTATGTTTTTGTGTTGCTTGGTAGAACTTGCCTGAAAAAATTAGGGGCTGTTTGAACAACAGCAGCGAGGTGAAGATTACCTAGAAAATCAGTAGTAAGTGACCATCTAAACTCAAATAAAATGGTGAAGTAAAACCTTCAGTTTTAGGGAAGTTGTTTGGTGGCTTCAAAATCTTTACCTTAGAAATATATTTGTAACAGATTTTAAAAATATGAATGCCTCCTTGAACACCTTATTATGAATGTGTTTTCTTTAGCTCTTTAAATTGTGTAGGTAGCTCTGTGATATTTTGGTAAATGTATCAGCCTGCTTGGTTTGTGGAATTATAAGAAAAGTATAAATCCCACAAAACCCCAGTTCTTTTACATTTAACATGTTAACATTTCTTCCCTGTGGTCACCAAAATTATTTTTATCTTGCTGCAAAAAAGGGGTAAATGAATGATACTAGAATGATGAGAAAACAACAAGAGAAACAAGAGTCAGTTGCTTCTCATCATTTCTTTGCTTTTGGTGGTGTGTTTTCGAGGCAAGGGAAACCAGCAGAAGTAGTTTCACTTTCTGGTTTTCAACTCCTGGGGGCGAGGGTGGTGGCTGTCCCTGGCAGTGGGTAGGCTGAGTAGATCAGCCGACAGAAAGAAGCCAAACCCAAATACTATCACCCTATGCAAAAACTTTTAGAATGAACATTCAAAACAGTAGTGAATTTTAAGAAGTGTTCAAAATAACATTTGCCTATTATAAAAATTTAAGTGATACTACAAAAGGCAAAGATAGAATTTTTAAATTTTAAAAACTGTAGGTGATGGGAAAATCCCAACCAAATTGTCCTAAACCTCTCACCATTTGGTGGCTTTTGTTGATGTCTTTTAAATCTCATTTTCGGATCTCAAATCCTTAAGGACACCTAAAACAAGTTCCCTGAAATTATGACAAGGAATGCTCAGAAATAGGAATAATGTTTATGTGAGTCTGGGGAGTTACACTTTAGAGTGTTTTGTGAGTCTGTTTACAGTTTTGTGTGGCCAGAGGACACATCACACCCACACGCACCTTAGAGCAACCTTTGGTCTGGGCGGAGGAGATGGCTGGAGCTCCCAGGGACCCCGTGAGGTGGGTTTTCCTCCCTAAGTCTGTACCCCTGGAACCTGAGCATCTCAGGGATGGACGCCAGGGAGCCAGGGTGTGTTCGTGGCACTCCACACGTCCCAAAGAAAATGAGAGGCAACACTGCCCCTCATCGGGCTGGGAGTTTTAGAATGTCAAGCACCTCTCCACTGACCACTCTGATTTTATTTATTTGGGGATAAAATGGGAAGGAAGGAAACAGAGATGAGAAACGACCCTCTTTGAATCTAATTCTCAAGGAGCGTTATCGTGTCTCACATTTTGGAGGTGACGTTTGTAAAGGGAGTTCCCCCTGGTGTGATCATTCTTTGGGGGCGAATTTGACATTTCTAAGAAGGAGCTTTTTAAAAATGCCTCCTTGGACATCTTATTTCTTAATTCTACAATCTCCCAAAAGGATGGTTTGAGATTTACATATTTTGAATGTTTTTGTTGCCTTCAAAAGTAGACAGGCGAGGAGAGACGAGGGGGATTTAAATTAAAAAAAAAAAAAAAGCCCCCTGGGAGAAAAATCAAACCATTTGGTACAGATATGATGTAACAGAAGCCACCAGGGTGTCTAGTAAATTACTCTAAATTTTAATTAATGAGTCACCAAAGCCACACCACAAACTTTAAAAATTACCCTTTTATCAATAAGGTGATAATTAACTTTCCCTGGAATTAGCAATTCACTCAGCCTCAGGCGGTATGCAGCCTAGTAAGTTCTCTGGAATGCTGCCAATTTTTAACAATTGGTCTTTTGGCAAACCTACTGGATTTTAATTCAAACATCTATTGTGACATTTTCTAACGTGATTTAAAGACCATTAGGATCACCCACGTCACTGTAAAATTTCTGAGGTCGAAAGAGTGGCTTGGAACGTTTGAAGTGCGTTTGATTATGTCGCTTTCTCTGTCTCCATTTTCTCTTTTCCTCGCGTCCCCACCCGCACCTCCACATCTGCATCTAGTTTGCTTATCAATCTCTCCTGCAGTCTCTGCTGTAAATCACCCTGGCCAACCCTGCATTTGCTGGTCCGCCCATACCAAGTCCTGGCGCTTTGGCTGCCAGCCCCGCGGGCTCTAAGTGTTTTTCATTGTGTGTTCATCTCGGTTTCAATTCTGGCAAGGGTTTGCCCTTTTCTGTTTCTGCAAACTCTCACCTGTGGTTTGTTAAACGCCGAGGCTAAAAGAAGAGGCGCTTCGGGTGGGAGGGCCATCCTGGGTGTGTTACTGAGCCTTGGCCTTGAGCTTCTGATCTGCGCACACTCGTGTCTGATGAGGCACAGGAGCGTTTGGCATTGCAGGCAGCCGGCCCATTGCAGGCCCGCGCAGACATGTGCACCCACACTCCCCAGAGTTGCTGGTCCCTAGTGGGGGGCATGTTGGGATAGCCTCAGGAGGGACGTTGCTATTTGGCCACAGCGGTTGGAGGGTGATGGTGATGGATGCGGATCATGCCTTCAGAAGTCAGACTTCTCTCTTCCCTCTGGATCCTTCGCACTCTCATACTTACTGCTGGGCTCCTCCTCTCTGCCAAGAGATTTGACCAGCACGGGATACCGGTGACCAGGCTTCCTGCTGGGTTGAGCAGGCAGTTCGGAACAGCCTTGCATTCGGGCAGGTGGGGTGGAGACCCACAGCAAGCGACATTTGTGCATTCCGGAATAAATCAGCGCTTAGCAAGCAGAAGGAGCCTTTGAGACCACTGAGGAGATAAAATACCTCTGGCTTCTTGGGCTACTAGTCTAAGACAGAAAGGAATGTATTACCCAGTGGCAGTTCTCACTTTGCATTAAGCTGAAAAGTCATTCCATTGAGTCCATTTGCCACTCTGGAGTGATGGAAATAGTTTGAAATCCACATGACAGGTTTCCCCAGGATTACAATTATTGGACCAGTTGACCCAGTTGTGTTTTACAGAGAGCCCAGTGATACGAAATCATATAAACTCCTCTTTCCTCTGTCACCAACTCAGACTCGTTCCACCTACATTTTCGTCTGTGGGGTGACAATTGGGCATTTTTTTTTTTGGCAGCTGCGTTTATTATCGGATAACTGGAACGAACTCAGTGCCACCGTTGCTGGTTTTTGAGAGTGGTCGCCCATTCTTGCAGCCTGGCTGTGTTGGCCTTTTGACAAAGGTGCTGGACTGAGGAGTGGTCTTACTTTCTCCTAAGGCACGCATTACAGAAGCTCAAGAATAGAGTTGGCTGTTATGAGAAAAATAACATGGTGGGGAAAAGACAGTGTCAGCACTTGTGCTTCGAAAGGTGGTGATGTTGGCTTCTCAGGCCCATGACAGTGACTCAACTTTTGGGAACTGAGTATTTGGGAACAAAAGCCTTTGCCCTTTTCCTCTCCCTGTTAATCTACTGATGGTTAGACAGCAAAAGCCCTCACTCTTTCAAGGCAGAAAGAAAATCCTAAAGAAATACTCAGCCTTTTGTGAAGATGGCTGTGAACTTGGGGACCAATGCTGGGCTGGGCAGAGCAAGGAATTATTCTGGTTAGGTTCAAAATCAGCCAGGGCAGAGTGACACAGAGCAAGGAAGTACTGGGATAAAACACAGAGGAGGGAGCCTGTTCCTTCTCCCTCCCAATGTGGATATCACCATCACTCTCCTCCCTGCATCCCTGGTGCAGTTCAGAAAGTATTCAGGAATAGTTGT